AAAATTTTATTTACATTCTTTATAATAGTCTTTTGGTGTCTCCATCTCAAAGGGCATGCATGAGATGGGTATCTGTTTGCATTATTTCAGAGTAGGGCAAAGGGGTGAAACGGCACGTGACGACCCGCGTAGCCCTCGAGCCAGGGAGGACTGTAAATTAGGAGGTTTAGGTCAGATCTAGGATCGTCCCACCCATTGTTATTGTGCCCCTTGGACTTCATCTATTGTTCGTTTCTTTTTCATTTATTGTTGTCTGCCCTTCCAGGGCTGCGCGTTCATTAAAGAAAACTCCTTCAAAATAAACTTCGGATCAGAAGGACAGTTTGGGCGGCAGCCTTCTTTCATCAAGGAAAAAAACATCAAAAACAAATGTTTTCGCATAAATCAAATGAACTGATCCGATTTTTTCGACTGAAATCATTTGCGAAATATTTTTAAAAACATAAAACTGAAATAATTTTCGACAATTCAATCAAATTAAATCGGCGTTTGGATGAAACAGTCGCGCGATATTGCTTCTTCATTCCTTTACTCGACATCGTCTTCTCATCATTTGGCATTATTGCAAAACAACACTGAAATAAAGCACACATAAAATTGTTGGACTAAACACCTTTGAAGCTATGATTTTAGTGGAAAGAATAGCTCGTAGATGGAATCATTGCAGAGAGCAGCCGATTGAGTGGTTAAAAAGGAGAGCAACTAGCAATAAGAGTAACTTCAGTATTACGCAACGAAAGCTTAGGCTGTAATGCTCTTGATTAGTGGTTTTGGAATTTTGATGGAATAAATGTGGTGGTGTATGTGAATGAATTAATTGATGTGTGTTTGTGTGTGTGTGAATTTATAATTTAAAAAGAGTTTAATATAGTTTTTGCGATCATTTGAATAGATCACGAGATATGTACATTGTTGTGCTGTTGTTTTTTTGGTTCATTCATTAAAATCAGTTTGTGTTAGAAATGAATTCGCTGAGTGTTGGTTGGTTGGTAAATGAGTGTGTGACGAATCAATCATTCACATCAGATCACATCACGTGTTGGTGCAATTGATCGGTAAAGTTGTTTTTAAAAACGAGACGAGACATGATTCGAGAGTGAACAAGCTATGGGATGATTTTAGTGGATAGCTGAATACGATAGATAGCTGCAAGGATGATGATGCGTGCATAGAAAAATAAGTTGAAGATTTTACTGAATTTAAATTTGACTTTGATTTGACTTAACTTGTGATTTTTTTAATTGAAGGTAGTTTTAATTCGTGAGAACTGTCTGGGTGGGGTAGGTGTAGATTAATAATTTGAATGACTTGAGTATATTATTGCGGTTGTGTGTGCATAGGCTCGTAAATATGCAACTATTTTTTGATTTTAAATAACGATTGAAATGTTTGAGTGGTGGTGGTGAAAGGGTCAAAGTACGGTTGATGTGTAGGGTGGTGAAAGGGTCAAAGTACGGTTGATGTGTAGTTGTTAGGGCGGTGGCGTGATCGGTTGATCAGTGTGAAATATTTGATCCGAAGAAATGTGTTGCTGATTTATCGACTTGAAAAAAAATAGAATACAAAAATGACAGAACAGACAGTGGAACGTAGTGTTGTTGATGGTTTGAGGTTTGATTTTTGATTGTGGAACGTGATTGGGTTCGGTGTTGAGATGAAGGAAGTGAGAAAGGAAGAAAAAAGTTGTTGTTTACTCGTCGAATGGTTGCTGACGTCTTTGCTACCGTAGTATTTATTGGTTGGCGGTGTGTTGTTTTTTTGTTGGAAATTTTGTTTGTGACCAGTTTCGGGTGATATGAAATTGTGAATGAAGGATGGATGGATGGCGTTTGCATGCGTAGATGAGACGATCGAAATAGATTTTGAGGTGATGCGAAGAAATAAGCCAAAAGTTGTAAACCGACGGAGGGAAGACCGAACGAGCAGCCAAGCAGTAGACCGAGCTGAGCGATTGTAGCTGATATTGTAGTATCGTATCTGACAGAGTCAGAGCCAGCAGCCAGGCAATTTACTGCAGTGAGCAGCTGTTGTGTCGCGTAAAGGGTTACTGAGTGAGAGTGAGAGTTTATTGTGGTGACTTGACGTGACGTGACGTGACATGAGATTTCGATGTTGATCAATTGTTGTGTTTGTTTAATTGATTGCATGTTTATTCTCATTTGACTGATTCGTTTGATTGATTTGATATAACGCTGTTTCGTGATTGTTGCTGTAGATGCTGCTGCTGCTGCTGCAGACTTGTACTGCTGCTAACATCTTATCATTATTACCTGATAATCATGAGCGTTATTATTAGTATTCGTTAAGGTTTATTAAATTCCTTGTATAGATTGCTGGCTGCTATTATTTGGAGCGAGTTTATTCAGTACTGAAACTTAATCGTTGATTGATTTATTCGTGAACAGTTCAGTTAGTTCATCATTGATCTCTGATCATTTTATGTGATGAGCATGTGTTGATCTGATCTGATCTGTTCAGTGTTCAAATTGATCACATCATAATCATCTATATATATATATATATATATGTTTTAAACTGCATTTGAACTGCATCATGTCATGTCATCTGAACTGAGTTCGTCATATGACTTGATTGGATTCATTCCATTTGGTCTGTCTGCCTAGCATTGTTCTGATATTTTTTGGGTTGTCTAGCGATGCGATGGATGGATGGATCTTTGATGGGTTTGATTCGGAAATAAGACTTTTTTGTTGGATGTTGGATCGAAAGAAGTGTGAAGTGATTCATCTCAATCATTCACTAGTCAAGTAAATAGCCAGCCAGCCAGCAGTGTGCAGTGAGCTTAGAACCAGCCTGCTGTCGGCGGGGCAAACCAATGAAACGAAAGAATGCGGACAGCACCTCCCTCCCTGCCATCGTTTGCTGCCCGCCCTGCGGCCGCCTTGTTTGTGTTGCTGTCTTGCTGTTGCCAGCCTTTCTGAATAATCCGCGTTCACTCTAGAGTGCAGTGTGAAGTGCCATTTGAATAGATAGATAGATCAACAATAGAGTGATCGACGTCTTCAGCTAGGCAGCCAGGCTCGTGCTGCTCTCGTGGGCGGATGCATATTTCTCGTTTTTTTTTGTTTTTGTCAAGAAACACATTCAAGCATTCATCCGTTTATCCATGCAGTCAGTCATCCTTTCTACTTCGTATAATTCTTTGAAAGCTGCTTACCTCGTGGTGCTCTTTTCTTAACCGTTTTGCATGCACGACGCGCTCAATTCAAGTCTGTTGTTTTTCTTATAACAAATATACTAGCTGGTTGGTTGCATTTTGTTGCATATGCGTATGTATCGTTCAGCTGAATTTATTGCAAAACCAGATGGTGTTTTTGACGTGAAACGAACGGTGCATTGTAGCTTGAGAGGAATCGAATGCATCGTTGATTAATGAAACGTGTTCAAGTGCAACAATTAAGTAATGATTTGAGCGAGTCATCAATCACTAGAACGATTTCATTCTATCTCTGTGAATTGCGACTGGGTCATTATAGCGTGTAGTATTACTGTATTCGTTGAATATACTATATTTGCAGAGTTATTTACTGAAGATTCATTGCTCATTGAGAGTTGCTTGTAAATGGTTGTTGCTCGTAATGCAGTCAGTTGCATTTGAAGCACTGAAGGCATTTTTATTATTGTGATTATTATTCTTGGCATTATTTGATAGTTGCTGTGATCGCTGTTTTTATAATTGCTATTTGTTACTGTGAGCAGCAGTTAATACCTTCTGATCAAAGAAAGGAGAGAGGTGAAAATGACCGAAGCACAAGCCTCTCGAGCTGCGGCTGCCACAGTTGCAGCTGTTGCATATGCCGCAATTGCTAGTGGCATGGCCAAGGCAATAATGAATCACCGAAATGCTAGTGAAAATAATATTGCTAATAATACAGACATGAGTGATCATGCACAAAAGAGTTTGCGAAGCACTCAGTTAGCGTCCGTGATACTTCCACTGAATACTGCAACGTCTCAAGTTGATGGTTTTGGTCATATGACGACGAGCAGCACATCAAACAGTCGCATTGTTGACAGTGCTCACAAAGTTGCAGCAGTAACAGCAGCTGGTGGTGGTGACTCTACGAGCGTAGTTGATTTGGGTGCTGGAGGTCGTTATACGATTAGATCGATTCTGAATCCAGCGTGTGCAGTAGCAGCAGCAGCAGGTTTAGAGAAACAGGAGGGCACGACGACGCTAGATGAGAATTCTACAACAGAAGAGGATGACGACGACGTGATGGTTATTGAGGGAGATGATAAGAGTGAGAATGATGTGCTCGAAGCTCGATCTGATGATGAAGTGATAACAAACGAATGCAGTGATAAGCAAGCAGCAAATCTTGCAGCAACAGCAGCATCGCATTATCCTACTGATAGGGCTGTTACTGCTGCTGCTGCTGCTGCTGCTGATGCTTCTGTAGCAGCATTGGCTTCATCTGATGGTGAACGACGTCAAGAACTAGGAAGAGGAGATGATGCTCTATATTCGGGGTTATTTAGCTTACCGATAGTAGCAGCGCTCGACCAAGTTATGAGTAGCNGGGCACAGACACAGGCACGGGTACGGGCAATAATGCGATGCTGACAGATGGAAGTGTTGGCAGCAATTCGGAGAGTGCAACAAGTTCAGTGCGATGCACACCGATGACGGCTACTGCCATTCCGTGCACATCGCCCGTTTTGGCATCGTCCGAGCGATGCCGTTTCGGTGCTCTTGGTTCTACTAGCTGTACACAGAACGTAATGGCCGCAGCAGCTGCTGCAGCTGCATCCATATTATTTGGCGGTGCTGTGCGAGGTGCACACAGTGCAGCAGCATCCGATATTGGTTTGGCTGCTGCTGCTGATGATGATGATGAAGCANTAGATGCCACGGTAGCAACAACAACAACAACAGCAGCAGCAGCAACAACGAATCCTTCGGTTTCAGTTTCATGCACATCTTCGCTAGCTGATGCAGAGCCAAGCGTTTGGTAGGTACTGAGGATTTTTGCAGCAATTTGGTGCTTGTTTTGTTGCCTTGTTTGCATTTATCGCTGATGTCTTTGGACTATGATGCATATATAATACTAATTTACATTCATTAACTTCCTTCCTTGGTTGCGTCCGTGCGTTGAATTTGTCTGATAGTGAGTAAGTGGATAGATGAATTGGTTGATGAATTGGAAACGAATGTTTCATTTGCTTAAGTAACATCTTAAGAATAATAAGTGAGATAGATGGTGATGAGGCTTTGGGCTTTGAAGCACGCGAGCGCATTCGTATGAAATTCGATGAGTTGCTGCTTATTTTTAGTTGAGATGAGGGTTTTTTGGTTGGAAATAGCGTGGAGATATAATTTGATGTTTGTGTGCGTGTGTGTGACTGACTCATCATTTGATAATAGTAGAGTGGGATTTTGAAATGGATGGATGGATTGATTCACTGCTGCACTACAATTCGACATTATTATTCGTGTGTGTGTGTTTGGTTGGGCGTTGAGGACTGTTATTATTATTATCATTACTATTGTGATTGTGATTATTACATATCGCGAATCAGTGAGGAGCGATGTTTCGATGGTGGTTTTTATAGTTGTTGGTATATTAATGATATTGGTACACCACTCGGTTTCAAGCAAAACTTTCCTCCGCGAACGGGAATCGAACCCGCGACATACCAATTTTCAAGGGGTTCTTCTGAAAAATTTGGTTTTTAAGAGTAAATTTTAAAAAATGAGTTGGATGAATTGATGGGTAGGTAGATGGATGGATGGATGGTTGTTCAGTTGCGAGTCAAAGAGCATTTACAGTCTAATAGCATGTATGTTCAGAGGATGATCGTAGTACTTGCTTGATACATAGGTAGTTGTTTGTTTGTTGTGTGGTGAAGTTGAATGTGTTTTTGCTATCTAATAGAGACATGCATCGTATTTACACTAGATTTGTTGGTTGTTATTGGTTGAGTGATTGGTTGATTGATGTTTTATGGGTTGACTGGATGCAGCAGCAGCACTGAGTTGATCTGGTGTGAGTTGAGTTGATTCGGTTTGGTTCAGTTTTTGTATGGAATTCGTTTGATGTAGCCGATTGCTTGCCTGCTTGTTGTGACATTTCATGCGGAGTGGCATCTGGTTTCGATTATATTTTTATTGAATGGAAGGTAGGTAGGTAGGTAGGTAAGATGAGCTGTTTGCATTTTGATTTGCAATTGATTTGCAAGGGGATGGGCAGCCGATGTGGATTCGTCAGTGATTGTGTTGTGTGCTTTTTTTTGGTGGAGAGACGACGGATGGACGGACAGGTAGACGACGAGCAGCAGTAACCTTAGAGGTGTGTCGTTGAGTTTTGTTCGTTGGTCGCTGGATTGCGTTGTTGATGATGCACGAACGAACATTTTTTGTGGGTAATAAAAAAAGACAGGACAAAGTCCTTTCATCTCCTTCCTCTTCCTCATGGTTGATTTGACGGAGTTTGGCAATAAATTACACCTAGAACGATGTGCTCTATAGATAAGGTGGATGGAGCATGTGTACTTTGTGTTTGTGTGTGTGTGTATGAAATGATTACAGATTTTTTGTTGTAATCAATGTTAAGTTATCAGTTGATTTTATGGATGAATGAATGTGTTCGATTGCGAAAAAAAAACCATCGGTGGAACAGAATGACGTTGAACAAAACATTGAGTGGAATATGAGAAGGGAAATAGTGGTTAGTGGTTTGGGGAAGGTGAATAAAAATGTGAAAGGGAAGAAAATTTTGCAATTTGATGTTCTAATCGGATTTGAATAAATGTTAGGTGCATATAAATACGAGTTGTAGTATTCATTTGTATTGCATTCTTGATTTATTCACTGAATAATGACTCGTTGACTAGATTCTTTAAGAAAGAGCAAAGAAACGATCAGACTGCTGTATGATTGTTTCCAAGAAAATGAACTGGGCACTTTTTTACATTGGGGGGTCGCACGCCAGCAAGCTCGCGCATGCCACGCCTACTGCGCATGGCNGCCATGCGCAGTAGGCGTGGCATGCGCGAGCTCGCTCGCGTGCGACCCCTCAAAGTAAAAAAGTGCCATGAAGTGAATAAGCGGTAAGATGGACTGGTTAATAAACTAGAGATTGGTGGTGGTTTGTAGGAATCGAGGACAGGACAGGACAAGGGTTATTGATTTTAGTAGTGGGAATGGAATGAGTGCATAAAGCTGGATGGAATATAGCTGAATGATTGATTGATGGATGAATTGATTGTAGAAGAATAAACCTGTATTGTGTACTGTAGAGAACAGAGAGCAGTGTAGTGAAGTGCAAAAAAAGGAAGGAAGGAGATTGCTACATGTCTGTAGAGGATGTAAGCCGAAAACGTTCACTTTTTAATAATTTTTTGAGACAAACAGCAGTAGCGATGTGTAGTCAATGGTTAGGGTGGTGATGTGGTGTGGGACGGTTGGACGGACGTGTGATTGGATGAATAGACAGACGGATGGATGGATGGATGGATGGATGGATACACTTTAGTGGATCGATGAGCGAATAAATAAATATCAGACACCGAATTGAACACTAAGAAAGGAAGGGATGGATGGATATACAGAGCCGCTCAATCGAAGCATGTTAGTTGTTGTAAGGCTGATAGACTACTAATCGGGCGGCGGCTTGAGTAGAAGTGAAAACATTTTAGCTTTTACGTATACGACGACGTGTATGTTGTATGTTTGGATGGATGGATGTGCGTATGTATGTATGTATGTATGTATGTATTTGCTTTATTTGAGAAAGTAGCCGTAGAAGAGAGCATCTTAAGCAAGGCTTTAAAAAAAGAACGGAATGGTGCGCTTTCGTGTCATATTTCATTCGAAAATAGCGCCTCATAAGAAAATAGTTGTTTGTATGAGGATGGCTGCTTGGATGCATAATATATTATATGCAGCATCATCATCGTATTGATGTGCTTTTTGAACATGAAGCGAACAGCAGAAAAAAACTTTCAAGCAAGCAATCAAACACACCAACAACGAAGGTAACTGACTAACGTTTGAGATTATGGCTATGAGTAGTATAATGCAGCAGCAGCAGCAGCAGGCAGTACACAACGACGAGCAATAATTTCATTTCGGGGAGTCAGTTTTTATTTGCTCATCGCAGGCATGATATGATGTGTTGTTTGTGTTAAGCACGTTGCATAGTTCGTTGGTCGGTTTTTATTTTGTTGTTGTTCCGTTCTTATTTGTCGTTTTGATAAAAAATGTTTTGTGATTGATTCGATGA